CACACAACTGTTTTCAGAAAAAAATTGAAAATTTTCTCAAACTTTAGACATGCTGATAGCAAAACTGAAAAAAAAACACTGAAAACTAATTTCGTGCTAAAAGGAATTCCAAGCGTATAGAAACGATAGAGTATTTTTACTCTGAAAAAAAACCTCAAGAAAAAGAAAATGTTAAATGTTAATGTTAAATGATGGTATTCCATATCTTTATTATCTCTTCACTCATTCAAACAAGAAAAAAAAGGAAAAATTACACAATTACGTTTTGTAGAAAATTGCTGGATGAAAATGAGAAACTTTTTGGGGAAAAAAAATCATGGACACACTAAAGAAAAAAAACAAGAATTTGAGATTTACAAAAATATAGTACCTTCCCGAACCTGAGAAATTTATTCAGCTGTAGTCCTGTCCAAACAATTTCATCATTTTTTAACCTTTTTCTAGTACAGTATTATAAGACCAATTTCCAAATTGACCTGTACCGAACAATCAAAAAGGCTGAACAAAGTTTTCAGTGTGTTTTTTTCTCCGCGGAGAAAAGGGAATCGAGCAAAAGAAGTTTGACCACTTGTCTTGCCTTTCACGTACCAGGTCGAGCTTTTGTTTGTTTAAAAACTATCGTCTCATAGGTAATAGTACTATTTTCTGAAAGCTTCCCCGGAAGAAATGAATCGGGAGAGCCGATTGACTCGTCTTTCATTGTCCACTTTTCGTTTCTTTTCGGCTTGTGTTTGGGTTTTCTTTTGAGGAATTTCATTCACTTTTCTTGCACTTTCTGCATAAATTCTATTTTACGGTTTAAAAGTTATCTTACTTTTGCAAAGTCATTTTTATTCATAGATTAATCATTCTGGAATTTTAGACTGTTCATGTTATAATACCGTATTTTCTCCAATTGGTGGCCATCATAACCATTAAAAATGAGCTCAAGTATCTCGATTCCTGTGAAAGATATCAAACAATTTTCAACTGAGAAATTGTATGTCATAATATAACAAATATTTCATCAGTGGACAAATTGCTGATATCTTGCACAAGAGAAAAGAAAAAACTAGCTTAAAGTTGACAGCGTGTTTTACAGGTTTTACGGTAGAAGAATCGTTCTGAAAATTTGTAGCTAATCTTGTTTTACATAGAAAAATATTTTTGTCCAAACCTAATCAAAATGTGTCCATGGTGGTGTCTTGAGAATACATGTATTAAGACACATTCTCTGAGAGAATTGAGATCAGGTCAACAGGCGATGGCAATGGAAAAAATCAAAATGGTCCAAGGTCTCTGATATTGTATGTGGGGGGGAGATATAAAAACTACTTTAAGACTTTTGGCCATAGTACTTATAGGCCACGCTCCCTTCTGGGCGCGATGACATACCGTAACCCTGAAAAATTATTTTTGTTCAAAATAATGATATCGACTCAAATGTTTCAGATTTCAGTTTCTGGTACATTTTTCTTCATTTTTTGTGTTGGGATCATTTTTCTACAGTAATCCTGAAGTAGAGAAAGTTTCATTTTTTTGAATTTTTTACACTTTTTTCGAAATTTCTCAAAAATCTGCCTGTGTTTACTGAACCAAACCTTGTTAATTCGATAATTTGAACCTACTCTCACTATAATACCTTAAAGCCATAAAAAATCCGATGCCCTTAAAAGGGTTATTTTCGAAACCAACTTTGGTCAAAAAATGAAAATGAAGATAATGATTTGATTTAATTTGGAATGAATTAACCTTACTATTTTGAGCATTTTTTGTGTTGAGATCAAAATTCAAACTCGTTTCCTTTCAGCTGAAAAAATTGATTTTTCATCCGACTTCAAAAAAATTGCTGAAAATCGGTCGTCGTGAAAATTTTAGCATTATTGTGAACAAGATAATTTTAGATTCAAATCCAACGTAAAAAATCACACTGGTGTTTGTTTGAGTTTGCATATGTTTGTTTGAGTTTGCATATCTTGAGCACAAAATGAGTTTTAGTCCAAAAAGTGCAAAAACACCATGTGGGGGAGTACATGGCCACTAAAATTCGCCCAAAATCGACCATCTCCAATTTTGATGAAATTTATATCAGATGTAGTATTTTTGATGGGTAGTATTTTGGCAAAGTTTCAAAATACCTACTCATCGTCTTCGTGCTTTTTTGCAACGCTTAGTTTATCACTGAAAATGGACTTGGAAGCAATTATTGCCGATTTTTTGGTACTCCCACACACCATTTGTTATAATATAAAATTTCTCTTCTTAGTAATCATTCATCATGTTTCTATGCCCTTCTTTCCTTTTTCCACATCTTTTTTCCCAAATTGGCACCTCTCTCCATAAATATCCATTTGAGTTCAATACAAAACCAATTGAGGTCGATGCGTGAGACACTCGAAATCTTTTCGCTCCTCACCTTCAAATATCTTCTTCGACTTTCCCCTCGATCGCTTTTTGTGTTGTTTTCTTTCACACTGTATTTCAATAAAAAGAAACAATTTCAGCTAATTTTCTGATTCTATCGTGAAATGAAGAGTCGGTGAACATCATCTGAAATAATGGTTCATATCAATTTGACGCAGCTGGCTCACGATTGTGAGCTTCACATGAGTGAGCAAGAAGTAGATCAAATTGAAAGAAGACATGCGAGACTTGATAAAGTGAGTGTTTTGAGTTTGAATAAAATTTTTTCGAAATAGGATTTTTTCAGTCAACAAATTCGATTCTTCTCATGACACCAATATTTTCAATTATCTCTTTTGTTTTCGCTTCAACTCTTTTATTTGCAATCATTTATGCTTTACTCAGAAGAAAAATTCCTTCCAGAAAGTATAGGTGAGTTTCAGATTGTACTGTAAACCTGTATTAGAAGGGCCTTTTCCGGACATTTTTTCCGATAATTTTCCTCAAAATTTCATCAAGATTGAGCAAGTTTTGGTACAAAAAGTGGTGTTTCTACAAAATTCTGTAAAGTTGTGGGGTATTGGTAATATTTTTCACTGAAAACGTACAGAAGTTTGTTATTTCCTAAAACGAATTTTGATGCCCTTCTATTAGAGGTACCCTCTTAATTTTCCAATAATCTCCTGGGCTCTTCTGATACAGGTTTATAATTGGCTCCGCGTCACTTCGAAACCGGTCATTTCGAAACCGTGGTAATACTAAGTGGATGAATTTCAGACTACAAAAACAATTTTAGGGTTTCAGAGTTCCAAAAAAAAAATCAAAATTTAATGTTTCAAAAAAAAATTATCGAAATTTTTGATTTTCAAAATGAGTTTTGTCAGAAAAAGCGTATTTGAAACCCCTAAAATTGTTTTTGTAGTCTGAAATTTATCCATTCGACTGTATTACCACGGTTTTGAAATGACTGGTTTCGAAGTGCCGCGGAGCTTTGTATATTTGTTCACCTAGAAATTCAATAATTTTGTGTTTAGC